AAAAACATTTGATGTTATTCAAAGAATATTATTATATCAATATCATTACATAACTGTACAACTGTCACAACAGCATCATCTAAAAATTGTGTCAATTAAGACACAACAATATCAATATACTCTTTCATATATGTACATCGATACATTAGTGTTCTCTCACTAGAATCATCAAGGGGTGACTTCATCATAGTCAGTAATGCACATACAAACAATCAACATAAATATATCATTCATGTATTCATCGCATTTAATTCAACATACTATATAAAGTGCACGACAAATGCATGAGTAAGTAGCTACAACATTCATAACAATATGACCAACAACAATAACAAAGCCTTAATCCCACTATGTGGGGTCGGCTACATGAATCTTTTTTCTCCATTGCGTCCTATTTAGTGTCATATTTATATTTAGTTCTAATAAATTAAGATAATTTTTTATACAATAACCCCAAGTCTTCCTAGGTTTATCTGTCTTTTTTAACATCATTTGAATCTAAAACATCTACTCTCCTAATCGGATCATCAAATGGTTGACGCTTAATGTGACCAAACCATCTAAGATGACTTTCTATAATTTTGTCCATCACATGAGCTACACCAACCCTATCACAGATATATTCATTTTGCATTTTGTCTTCAAGTGTAAAGCCACTCATCCATCTAATCATTCTCATCTCGGCAGCACTTAACTTAGTATTATATTTCTCTTTTAAAGGCCAACATTCAGCGCCATAAAGCATTGCAAGTCTCACCACCGGCTTATAAAATCTTCCTTTCAGCCTAAGCGAAACATTTCTATCACACAAAAGGCCCGAAGCATTCCTCCACTTCAACCAACCAACTTGAATTCTACTATTAACATCTCCATATATATCACCATCGCTTTGAACAACAGACCCGAGATATCTAAATCCACCTTTTAATAATTTGATCACCCAAAGTTACACTTCTGTCACTAGAGCTACTACTACAAAAATTACATTCCATATATTCAGTTTAGTTCTCACTCAAATGAAGGCCTTCAAACTCCAATGCTTATCTCCATAACTCAAGTTTTTAGACTCAGTTTTTCCTGGACATAATTCAAGTTTTTCCTGGATTTTTTCTCTCGTCTTATCCACAAGAAGGATATCATCAGCAAAAAACATACACCAAGGTACATCCTCCTGTAAATGTCCAGTAAAAACATCCAAAACCAAAGCAAAAGGATATGAGCTTAAAGCCGATCCCTAATGTAATCCAAAAGAAATAGGAAAATATTTGGTTAATCCTCCTTCAGTTCGAACACAAGTAACAGCTCTAGTATACATATCTTTAATGACTTGAATATAAGTCATATCAACACCTTTCCTCTCAAGAACTCTCCAAAGGATATCTCTTGGAACCTTATCGTAAGCTTTTTCTAAATCAATAAAAATCAAATGTCAATTCTCCTTCATATGTTTGAACTTCTCCATCAAACTACTCAATAAATGTATAGCTTTCATAGTAGACCTGTCGGGCATAAATCCAAATTGATTATGAGAAATGTTTGTAATACGTCTTAACCGATGTTCAATTATCCTCTCCCATAATTTTAAAGTATGACACATCAACTTAATTCCTCCATAATTTGTACACTCTTGTGCATCCCCTTTATTCTTAAAAATGGGGACCAAAATACTCTCCCTCCACTCCTCAGACATCTTTTTAGTTTTTAAAAAAATACTAAAGAGTTTAGTAAGCCAAGAAACTCCCAAATCTCCTAAACATTTTCATACTTTAATTGAGATATCATCAGGTCCTACAGACTTTCCACCCTTGATTTATTATTATTAACGATAACGTTTTATTATTATTAACGATATTAAGATCTTTAAGATTGATCGTATTTTCAGAAATTTCATTAAATAATTTATCAAAATAACTCACTCATCTATGTTGAATATTTTTTTCTAAGAAAAACACTTTTTGATTTTCATCTTTAACACTTTACTTGAGCTAAATCTTTACTTTTCTTTCCTCTTTATTTGACTAGTTTATACATATATTTTTCACCCTTTTTAGTATTTAATCTATTATAAATATCATTAAAATCAGAATTTTAGCATCACATATTGTTCACTTAGACTTTCTGTCGGCCGTTTGCTATGTTTCTCAGTTCTCTAAGCTTTTACATTTAAACCAATTTTTATAACATAACTTCTTATATTTTATCTTTTCTTGCACATTATTATTTCACCACCAACTATTTTTATTTGAAGAAGTTTTTCTTTTGATTCTCCAATTATATCTTTTGCTACTTGTTTAATTGTGTTTGTTACTTTATCACACAGCATTTGCTTCATCATGAACTTCTCAACTTTTGAAATCTTAAATTTTATTCATAAAAATATTTTTATTTGTGTTTTAGGTTTTCCCATCTAATTCTACGAAGATGAATCTTAGTATTCATTATTTTACAACTCTTTAGCTTGAAATCAAGAACTAATAAACGATATTGGGTACTTAAATCCTCACTTGGAATGACCTTACAATCTTTACAATCACGACGATCTCCTCTTCTTATAAGAAAATAATCAATTTGTGTTCTATTATATTCATTTTTTTAAGTAATAAGATGCACCTCTTTTCTTGAATAAAATATTAGTAATAAAAAAATCATATGCTAAAGCAAAATTTAAAATAGCTTTACCTTCTTCATTAGTCACTCTAAAACCGTAGCCACCATAAATATTTCTAAAATATTCTACCACTCACCAACATATCCATTTAAATCTCCTCCAATAAAAATTCTTTCTTCAAGAGTTACCATTTGTATTAAGTCTTCTAAGTCATTACAGAATTTATCTTTAGACCCTCTATCTAAACCTACTTAAGAAACATAAACACTTATACTATTAAAAACCTTAGTATCAATGATAATCTTAAGGGCTATAATTCTATCTCCAACTCTATTAATTTTTACAACATTATCTTTCAAACTCTTATACATAATTACACATACACAATTTCTAGTGTGACTCTTACGAGAGTACTAAAGTTTAAAACCTAAGTTATCAATCTCTTTAGCCTTTTCTCCAACCCATTTAGTTTCTTGAATACATAAGATATTAATCTTTCTATGAATGATAATATCAACAAATTTCATTAACTTACCATTGAGAGCACTGATATTCCAAGATCATATCCTAATATTAATTTCAATTGTTTTATGAACTAACTTCTTTACCCGCATCCGTTCGTAATGTGAGAACTATTACTTATTTGACACTACACCCGAGCGCCGGTGTAGCTGGCCTTGCACACTTTTCACTGTATTCAGGCTATACAACGAGTGTTAATCAATATGACCAGTAAATAAAAATATTTTTATCAGAATAAAGCATATGCAAGTGTCATTAAGTGCAAAACAGTTGAGAAGAAACAAATTAAAAGAACGAGTGCACACCTCGATTGTCGATTAATTTGCTATTTGATTAGTCTTGACATTTGACTCCTCAAAATTTGGAAGCCTAACATGGCATAAAATTTAATTAATTTATTATTTTAGAAAATAATTAACTTTTCATTATTCCATTCTTTTATTTTATGAAATCCCTTGTAAAACTGCATTCGGTCGAGCCCTACGCACACGACCTCTTCCTCTGCACTGGTCTCTTTCCTTCTCCCGAGAGCTTCTCCTTCGATTGACGCTGCTCGAAACTCGATGTTGCCTCCTCGCACAATAACTCCTTCGATCGCACGTGGCTTTGACTCCCTCCCAATCGACGTCGCGACTCAACATCACCACAAATACTCGACGCCGCCACTGCCCTAACCCTGCATTGTCCTCTCCTTTACACGCCGCTCGACTCCCAGGTAAGCCGGTCTCACCTCTGCATCCCACAAGCACGTCCTTTTATGGGGCAAAGGTAACATTTGGTTTCCCCGATTCGTCGCATCATTTTCCTGTGTTCACCTCTTTCGTTTCCTTTTCTTCTCTTTGGCTTCCTGACCTTCTCACTTTATCTCCCCTACTGTTCATTTACCCGACCGCTCCCTTCCTCTTCCAAGATTCTTCATTACCCCTTCCCCCATGTAGCAAAATCGTTACAGCTGCAAGAGTTAATAAGCATATTACAAATTTATATATATACATAACATATACAATGCGTCATTATTATACCATTTTAAGTTGTATTTTAATAGTTTTAAAATTTATTACATCATTTAGTTCAACCCCCAATTTTAACTTCGAATCTTGAATGAGTGAAGTGTTAAAATAATACCCTAACTACTTAAATGGGGTCATTTTAGTCTCATGACTTTGTTAAAGTATCATTTAGTCCTATTGTCTGAAATAATCCCAAGAGAGGATAATTTTAGTCCCAATTAAAAGAGTTTAGGGACTAAATTGGTAACTTTTATAGACTCTGGGACTAAAATAACACCTTGTAAAATGGTAGGAGCATTTTAACACTTTTCAATATCTTGGTTTTATTTTCTTTCAAGTTCGATGTTCGGTTTGATTTTCGAAACCTTGCAAAACACCAATTTGAGTAGTCCTAAACCATTTAACACTTCAAACAACACTAAAAAGAAATGAATAAAAAAAAGGATTCATAAATCCAACAATAAATAGTTAGAATAAGGTTAATTATAATGATGGCATTAAGCAACCAGACTTAATACTATACATTTGTGCACCCTTTAAATGTAATTTGATTGAATACAAACTAAAAACCGTTACTAGAGAGAAAAATTTTTAATCTTCTCGTCGTGAAAGGTAAAAGATGATCATTTTAGTACTTCCAGTTCGTCATAGCAATTCCAGAAAACATACGCAGAAAGGGAATGAAGTGGAAGTGAATGTACTTAATTCCTACACTATAAATGTACTTAATTATACACTGAAAGTTAGTGTTGATGAATTTGGGTAAGCATTGGTAAAATAAAAGCATGTTTGAAACAAAGTAATGATGATAGTTGAGTGCATTAAATATATATATATAAAGATAGTCGCAAGAAGATCACCTTCAACACTGAGAGATACGAGTCAGAAAAACCAGTATATTTACCAACCAAGGCAATTCTAACCTGAAATATATTAAAATTAGAATGTATAAGATGAAAAAAAGTCCATCACAAAAATGGTGCCTAAACAGAATGTCAACAGTGAAACCCACTGGATTACTCAGAGTATCAGAGATTTTAGTCCAAGCAATCCATTCATCTAGCATGGGTTCTTTTGCAACTCTGCATTTGAAAAGTTTATTTGAATCGATTTCTTTGTCATATGATAATGCTAAGCAAATAAATCATAAATTCATAAGATCAAACAATCATGCCCCTGTAGTTTAAGCGCTTTCAAGATGGCCTCATGCCCCTTCTGGTCCTGTAGAAACACAAGCAATCATGTTATATGATAAACAGGGTTACACAATGACAGCAATAAGCACATGAAATAAGCAATAGTTTTATGAAATGCAACGTTGATATAAGGTAACAAACCCTTAAGAGTAGAGGAACATGCCAAATGTTTGGAACGTCATAAAGAATTAAAATATTTGAAGCCTGCAAAACATTTTGCTTACATCAAATTATTATAGGTAAAAACTAGGGCAATGCACTTTGCAGAGCGATGCAAAAAAAATAATTGTTAAAAGTAAAAACAAAAGATACATTGCCTGTACATGGCAAAATTGCGCAAGCTTTTTCTTCACATTATCATCCAAAGGCTGTTCAAGGAGTGTGAGCACGAAACAACAGATCAGATAGGTACAACAGCAAATAAATAAAAAGGCAGAAGTTACACATGTAGAGAGACGAGAAGAAAAAGGGGAAGAGAGAGACCAATTCACTTCTGCAAGCAAGAATATTTGGTGTCAATCCAAGGGCTCTTAGTCCCTGAACACTATGCTGAGTTGGCTTAGTTTTCTGCAAGAAAACAATAATATAAAGTGAGCAAAAAATAGTAATTTTTAAAGAGAGGCAGCAAACATGCCAAGGTTGAGAATTGGTTATTTTCAGTAGGAGCTTGTAACAACTAACAAAGAAAATCGAGAGAAGTTATAAACCTGTTCACCGACTACATTTAGAACTGGCACAAGACTGACATGAATAAGGCAGAAGTTTCCAGGACCTGGAGTGAAACCGCATAAAGAGCTAAGATCGATCAATACCAGTGATGACTAGGCTAATTCCAAATTAAGTTAAAATATCAAATGAATTCCAGGAAGGCGTTTACATAGATTTCCCACCTACACGGTAGGAAAATTGACCAAGCGCCTCAATAAATGGCATAGATTCAATATCTCCTGCATAAAATATTCCACACTTTTAAGACGCAAAAAGATGTTTGCCCCTTCATTTATGCTTGGAAGACAGGATAACTTTGCAATCAATGTAAATACATTCAAGTGAGCATAAGGCTCACACTAATGCTTCTATTTGCAGTAATATAAACAAGCATTTTTAAACATATTATCACCTATGGTTCCACCAAGTTCTATAACACATACATCAGCTGGTCCTTCGTTTCCATCAACAGGAACGACTGCTACCCGTTGAATCCACTCTTGTATAGCATCTGTAATATGTGGTACAACCTATGCACAACAATGATTTCATATCATTAAGAAAATCACAAATAGAAAAATAGTATACCAACTATTGATGGTAGGCCATACGGCAGAAGTAATTCCCACCTGAACAGTTTTTCCCAAATAATCTCCCCTTCTCTCCTTATCAATGACAAACTACTCAACCACAATATTAAGGAAAAAGTAAGAATTTATATCTGGATTAAGAGTATTTGCCTCAATCAAAAAAAAATAAAACAGTGCAAACATAAGCTTAAAAGAAAATGCCAACCTGGTAAATCTTTCCAGTAGTAATGTTGTTATCACGAGTCAGCTTGATATCTAAGAATCTTTCATAGTTGCCAAGATCCAAATCCACCTTTAAAAAGAGTGGCATGGGAATAGTGCCGTGAATCTCCAAATGTATAGGCATCATAAAACACAAAATGTTTGCATTAAGAAAATTAGCCTGAAAGTTAAACTTTTAAGAAAATCTTGTTTATTTTTTATTTATTTTATTATTTTAACTTTTAGGAGTGCATTACTGTATGCATATGCCTAGGATATCATCCTATGATGAAAAGTTATTTTCTATTTGGATCCATAAATTACTAATGCCAAGAAGATTCCCTGTGACTGCAACTGCTTTGGCACAACCAAGATCATTGTTTCCTAAAAAAATTAGCTTTTTGTCCACGGATCTAGTTAAAATGAATTTTCAATTGGTTTCTGATTATGAATGGGCGTTTGAGATATGAAAAAAAGACTTCAATTAGAAATTGAATAAAATTTTTATTGGATGTGCAATCTGTTCTAATTCTGGGATTTAGTTTACGGAGACTTGAAAATCTCGAAGAGAGATTTAGGGCCTGTTTGGGGCAGCTTTTTTGGCGCGTTGCATTTTGAAAATGTGGCGGGTGCGGTGGCATTCCTAAATAGTCCATCTTAAAATGAGTCGCGGGTTCAACCCCGCCGCCCGCGTTTCCTCGTGGAGATATTACTCCACTGCCCAACGGCTCCCTCTGTTGTGTTTCTTCTTCCTCTCTCACCTTTCTTTTGCTCTAGTTACCTCTCTCGATCGCTCTCGCGAAGTTCTTACCCCGTTGCTTAGGTAGCCTTCTCATTTCTCTCTCAATCACTCCCGCGTCTCTCAAGCGCCTCTCGATGGTGGCAACCTGCCTTTCTCCTCTCTCTTTGCCCTTCAATCTCTGGTTATTATGCATTGTATGTAATTCGTGTGCTCATTTTTGAAAGAATGGCTTTCCTTTGCAATTTGTGGCTTTCCCATTTGCTGTATGTAGGGTTTTGTGAGAATTTTGTGAAATCAATCCAGGCTTTCTCATTTTGTTGGATTTGTGGCTTTCTCATTTTAATCTCTGGTTATTGTGAGAATTTTGTGGATTTTGTAATCTATATGGTTTTGTGAAATGGTGTTTAGGGTGCCCTGCATGTAGATAGCACTGTTTCGGGTGCTCTGTATGTCACTTCCTCAATTAAAAAATAGATGAAAAAGGGAGCATGATTTGTAGATAGCACTGTTTCGATGCCCTGTGTGTCACTGCCTTGATTGAAAATACGGAATGGAAGATAGCTTTTTTCCGGGTGTATTGTATGTAGACAACACTGTTTCAGCTATCTTGTATGCAATCAGTGAGAATTTAAAAAATATGGGTGCCCTATAAGTAAAGTTTCAGGTGCTTGATTTTTGAGTGAGAATTTGAAAAATATGGAGTTGTGTTTTAACTTTACCTCCTCTAATTTTTAAGTGAGAATTTGAAAAATGGATAAAAGAGAGTGCTTAATTTGTAGATTGCAATGTTTCGGGTGCCCTGTATGTAATTGCCTCAAATGAATATGGGATGGGTTTCTGTCACTATCTTTGATGTTTGTGTGAGAATTTGAAAAATAGATGAAAGAGGATGTTTGATTTGTACATGGAAATGTTTCGGGTACCTTGTCTGTAATCGCCTCAAATGAAAATTTTGGGATGGGGTTTTATCACTACCTTCAATCTTTGTAGATGAAAGAGGGTGCGGTGCTTGAATTGTAGATGGCAATATTTTGTGTAAATTACATATAGGGCACTCAAAACCAATGCATTTACAATTAACACGATCAAACCTTTTATGTTGGTGGTTGGTGTTCTGGAGGTGGTTGTGTGTGGTATGCTAGTGATTTTGGTTGTAGGTTGTAAAGAGGTAGAGGCGTGTTGTGGGAGAAGGTGATGTGGAAGTGGTGGAGTGGTGAAGTGTATTGATGCTGGTGGTGTGTGATTTGGAGGTGGTGTGGTGTGGTGTTGGTTATGAGATAGTGTGATGGTAGTTGGTGTGTGGAGGTGGTGGTGTTGGGTGGAGGTGGTGGTGTGTGGTTGTGAAGGTGGTGGTTGGTGTGTGGTTGTGCTTGTGTGGAGGTGTTGGAGGTGGTGTGATGTATGTGTTGATGTCTTGATGTGGAGGTGGTGTGATGTATGTGTTGATGTCTTGATGTGGTGGTGGTGGTGTGTGGAGGTGTTTGTGTGAAGGTGGTGGCATTAGTAATGATATTGTGCATTACTATTTTTCTTTGATTTGCGATATTATGTCATTACTATTTATATTAATTAGTTTTTTTTTTTTTTTATGCTAGTTATACAATGGTTAAAACAAAAGAGGCCGGCTCATCTACTATGTGGGATAAAGAGATAAAATCATAATTTGTGACCTTTGCTTTAACGAGGTACAATTGCGAAAGAGGTTTACAACCTATTTAATAAGAAAGACTGATAAAATATTATTAAGAAATTCAAAGAAAGTACAGGCACAGAGTATGATTGGATGCAGTTAAAAAATAAGTAAGATCAGCTAGAGAAGGAATGGAAAAATTAGAAGGAATTGAAGCAAGGATCAACGAACTTGGGGTTGGATAAGGTAAAGCGAATGATTGATGCTTCCGAGGAGTGATGAGCAGAGAGACTGACGGTATGCATTTTTAAAATGTCTCATATTTTTGTCAATTTTAAATTTGTTTTTAAATTCAACATGTTATATGAATTTATAGGTTGTGCAGCTACAAAAAAATTTAAATATAGTGGAATCAATATTGAATTTGAGGAGAATATGAATCGTATGTTTGGAGGTGTCGTGGCAACGAGCAACAATGCATGCGCTCCACTGAAGTGGGGTTTAGTGGAATACTCGAAAATTTGAGAGCTGGCCAAACAGGTGATTCCATTGAAGGACCCAACCCGCCCAACCCGGATCTCCATAAAGTTAAGTCCACGAGCAGGTCATAGAGTCACCGAGTTGAACATAAGAAAAACAAGAGAGCTACTTTCCTTGGAATCCAGATCTCACAATTAAGGGCTTCATGCACCAATGACTCGACCCATCACAAGCAACTTCTGTCCAGCATGTTATGTGAATTCTGGACACAACTCCAGAAATTTTAGAGAACATGACGTTGAATTTGTTCTCTATGAAGTTGCTTGAAGATTCGACCTAATAAGAGTTTTTCATCGCAATGCTCGTTGACGGTAGGGTAGCTTACCTGCATTATTTTCATGAGTGATAACATTTGAGAAACACTTTCTTAAATAGATTCTTGTGGGACATTTTTATTTGTTTATTGTTTTTCATAATGCTTTAGATATTTATGTTGCTTTGGACATGCAACTTGAGAGTTTCTCATTCCTCTATATATTTTCTATTTACTCCTGTAATATTATTTGCTTATGTTAATTTTGTTCGTAACATTATATGATTATAGTTAATGCATTGATGCTTATGTGTTAGCCACTTCGATACTGAAATACATGGATGCAACTAGAGAGGTAAACGAATCGCACATGAGCGAACGAAGCTCCTGTTTCTGTTTTGTTCGTTTGAAATTAAATTTCTTTGAAAAAGGCTCATGTTTAAAATTGTTTATGAAATGGGTGTTCGTGTTCGATTCAATTTGTTTGAATTTAATTTTAATTGTTCAAATTGTTCGTATTGCAACGAATCGTGTTTGGTTTCAAATGAGCTTAAAAAAGTAATAAATTTATTTATTATTAAAAGAATATAAAAAAAGATGGAGATTAATTTCAGATAATTTAGAATTAATTTTTTTATAATAATTTAATATATTTTATATTTTAAATTTTCTATCAAATATACACATAAAATTTTACTATTAAATTTTATAATTATATTGATTTTTAATTATTTATTTCGAATCAAAATGAATTGAACATGATCGAACTTGTTTGAGTTGGGTTTGCTTCTTTAACGAACGAATCGAATGTGAAGTACTTATCGAGCCGAACGACAAGCTTTTTTGGTAGCCCTAGATGCAAACTGGAGAGGCGTAGGAGAGTTGTGGTTCTATGTTTGATGTACAAATATTATAAATCGTACACAGAGCGCTCTCCTTACATGACATCTTCTTATGTTGGCAAAAAATGGGTTGGGGAGTTGTTTGCAGGCCACCCAACGAGATTTAGCAATATGTTATGCATGACAAAAGCGATATTTACCGATTTGTTAGAAGAAATACATAAAAATCATCGACTTCATGGCTCATCCAGAACGATTTCATGAGAAGTGTTGACAATAACCATCTACATATTATCGTAGAATGAATCAATGCAAGAGCTATGGAGATATTTCAACACTTTGAAATGATT